ATTGAAAGTGATTGAGCTGTTTTGGTGATGCGTTGCTCCTTATCTCTTCATTTAAGGCGTGTTTGATGGCAGGAATGTACCAAAGCATTAGCCAAAGGCTTTGGGTGATCTCGGAGTTGAGATATATATTTAATTCTGCTGTCTTCTATTTCTTTCTTTACCATAGAAATACCAAGGTCTTTATGGATATTTTCATTACGCATGTACCATGGTGAACACGTGTTTGTTCTAAGCATTTTTGACTGGAACCTTTATATTATATCAATACTAGTTGCATCGTATTAAAGTTGAACGATTTGTAATGTAAAACAGTACTGACAGCTTGACACGACTCACGTGTGATCTCTCAAAAAAGGCTATTAAGTACCTCCACTTGGGTTACCTGTTATTTGTGAAAATACTATCATCGGCAAAATGTATCGCAATTGATAAGTTTGCACTTGATAAACGCAATTCTGTTGTCAAGTGAAATGACAGCCGCACACATATAATAGCATTTTGGTAAAATAACATTTTTCTTAATTTTCAAAAAAAAAAATGTTGATTTTAACTAATAACAACATGCCATGGCAGATCATCGCATACCATTTGTATATGAAATTCGAACAAATTGATAAAAAAAGGCTATTTGCAGTTTTCAATTACCTTTCAGCTTATCACCACATTAAGAGCATCAAAGGAAGTGTTTTGTATTARTATTATATATTTATTGAATTCATTTGAGTATATATGTATAGTTGTATGTGTGAAGTTTTTCAAGTATGTCAACAATTCGGCAACATTTCGATTATTTTATAAAACTTAATTTCAATTTTGTGCGAATTATAATTTCGAAAGTCCCTCAAAAGCTCATAAATACAAATGCATATAATAATACAGTTTTGCGAAATCACCGTTATTCTCTACATTTAATGTCGACAAGCAGTGTGCATATCTTTTCATTATATACTATATGCTAGTCACTGTTTTTGTTGTATAAATTTGAGCTGTTTTTGCAATTATTAATCAAACTTTTATTATTTTATTACTTCTTTATTTATATATTCAGAGTACCGTTATCTTAACAGTTAAACTATAAAAAACGACATCTGAGTAAACTTTACAAATTTTTTTAAATAATTTTTTTTGCAGTGAAGGCTCGGTGGCTTCTCTAATTTGAACAGAATTTCAATTGTGTGTTCGTTTCGTCATTTCTCGGATCAACACTTACTTRTATGTATAATAGAGGTCCCTTTGAAAAAATTTATAGAGTTAACTATTAGGAAGGTTAGTGAATACTCCGTGAACATAGTATAATCACTTGCTTTTCTTTCTCTATCAAAGATATCAGTGTTTTCTTTCTCATTATCTAAGATTAACACCAGTTGATTTTTGCCATTTGACTTTCCCAAAATTCAAAAGAATAGCGAGTGTAAACGCTCAGAAAATATTTCTAAGAAACGCCATGCCAGTGAGAGGTAAAACTTGTATTTTTACATTTTTTTTTTTTTTTTTTTCAGATTCGAAAATTAAGCATTTATTCCTTCAAACGCTAATACTAGAAAGCAGAACAGAAAGATATTACTTCCAAGATTTTTTATGTACTGCAGTATGTTTTATAAAACGAATGGACTTGTGTCATGGTTTTGCCATTATTTCTATCTAAATGTAAACTTATACTTCCAATGGTCTCTACACACTTTAGCGCAGAGCGGATTAATGTCATGTTGTAATTTCAAGGCAATTTCAATAAAGATTTTTACAATAACATATGAAGTTTGGTTTATCTCTGTTGGAACTTTACTTTATTGTACATACTATAGATTACATGTGGTAAAATATGTGGATACCAACTYCGGTTTTATTCACCAATCAGAAAACAGTACGTTCGTGGGGTCCTTAGGCTCTCAGAACATGTCATGAGATGGTTTCCGTTTTACCATTTATAATGCAGCGCAATGTAATAATTTCATACACAGTGCTCTACGTCATTATATATTCAGAAATATACAGTATAGTATAGATGTAGATAAATGTAAAGTTTTATTCTATGAAAAGCWTATGAGCATCAGCATCGTTCAATTAATTACAAACTTTCTTGGTTTGTTTAAAACAATATTTGGCATTCCAAGTTCGTCAGTTGATTGGGAGTTGCAGCTAAAATTAAAATTTATTCTTTTTTAACTTTTATTACAGTTTATTTTGACAGTGATTATAAAAGGTCAATTGAATAGACGTCGGCCTGGCACATAGATATTTGAGTAATTTTTTCATCTTGCTTTTTTCATAAAAAATTTCTCACAACATATTTAGTTGTTTTTGTTTTTAATAAATTCTTAATTAAATGCATTCATAGTTTTCGTAAAAGTTTTTAACAAATCTTTGAGTTATATGTAGATATTAATACAATATAAATACATTCACATAAACATTTTAGCAGACATATATGTATGTCTTATATAATATTACTCTTTACATAATCACAACAGTTTGTGCTTTTATACTATATTTTCTTTTATTTCTTAATGCCAGCATATTTATTAGTATTTATATAGTGTATAGTATATAGTGTTTTGCATACTTTTTAACAATTTTCACGTTTACTTCAGTGTTGATAAGGAAATATTGTATCCAGCTGAGGCACTTAAGAGACACTAAATGCGTTTGCGTACTTGTTATCTTTCTAGGTAGATCGGTATTTTCGAATGAATAAAATAAATATAATATAATAAATAGCGAACATTTTTTTATACATGCATAATATACAATGTATATTTTATTTGTATGTTTTTGGGGTTATGGAATTAAATAACCTCAAAACCATACAAATAAAATACCCATTGCATATCATCTTTCGATTATATCGATATTCACTGATTTTCG